ATGCGAGAGCTATTTATTTAAAAAAAAAAAAAAAAAAAAACGCTAAACGTAAAGTACATCATACATAATATTAAAACCACTCGTGTGCTATTATACTGAGAAAAAACCGGGACAGTACAACTGTTTAAACTGATGATTCTAAATAAAAAAAATTTACCTTTATCATTATTTTTTATTTTTGTTTTAAAATCAGAAAACGTAGCAGAACAATTATTATTATATATTCTTGAGAATCATGAACATATTATTATAATAATATCTCACCTAAAACTCCGGAAAAGGATTACCACCTACCTACCTGCCTAGTCAAACCACAAACGAAATAAATTATTAAATTATTAATTAAATACTAAGTACTGCTACAACAAATCCTAATAATAAAATATCCCAACTGATTTATTACGCTTTTATAATAATTTTTCGTTCGTATTTCTGAGACTAGTCGTGGAGTCGGCGTAAGTGGGTAAATGATCTGGATTTGTGGGGGGAGGTGGTGTTTGGGTTGAGTTTTTGAATTATTGTTTGTATAGAATAAAATATGTTTAATAACGTCATAAGACGCAATGACAGTATTTAGTTCCTTAATAATGTGGCATGTTAAAATATATTTAAAAAAACGCAAGTACACGTATAGTTAAAAAGCCATTATAATAATCAAGTCCTTAATGCGTGTTGGTATTAAACGCGTATTGTGTATAGGTGTCATTGTGTCAATCTTCAAACCCTCTCACCTTTTGGTCAATTGAAAAATACACTTAAGCACTTTTTGATCGAATGAAATCCATTTGGTGGTATGTGAGGGAGTACCCTTAAAAGAAAAAAACAGTTTGAAAAATAATTTTAAAGTTATCCTTTGGGTGTGACACGCGGAACAATGTTTGAGATATTATATTTTCCTATCAAGTGTCAAGTAAATGTCTTGACTGAACACTGTTGTAGTTATTCTTCGTCAATCTCAACGAATCGACTGGTATAAGTATTATCTCAAAAATAAGCTATCTGTATGAAGAATGTCGGTAGTTTTTGTTTTATACATCTTTTGAATTCCTTCCACTTCCCAACCAATTAAATTGTACCAAATCTTCTCCCATCTGAACTCATTTCTCATATAGACAATCCTTATAATTCTGTGCGATTTCGATATTATTTTTTTGTTCATGACTGTGATAGATTTTGGAACTCAAATGGTGGACTACGAACCTTCCTGGTAAAATATTTCTTCATTGATTTCAGTAATCGATGTGAATAATATGATGTGCACAATGTACTTATGATCGATATCCATTACACGTAACAAAACGATTGTATTTCGTATTAGGTACCAAGGTACCTATTCGAAAAACACTTAGTACTCGTAATTATATTGTATTAATTTACACGAATAGTATGAAAACATCGAAAAAGTTTTTAGATGTGTGCGTATAGCTGCACGACGATCGAAAGAGACGTGAAACAATAATTGCAAGTTGCTTTCTTATCTGCTCTGTACAGAAGCGGATGAGTGTATTTTACTTAAGATTATTTTTTGTATTTTTTTTTAAAACAACCACAAACTTTGTTATTCTACCATAATTAAATGGTTTTCCGAAGGAAATCATGACTCTGCGGAGAACAACTCGGCTGCGATTCYATGTTACATAAAATAATTATATAATTTAGTTAAAACGCATACAAACATTTTCCACTTTTACCCATACGATTTCAATCCATTTGACCAATGCAACAGCTAGTTTCCTTGTCGTACCTAATATTGTTCCATACCAAAATAATAATTATACCATTTAATTGTTACTAAGACGATCTGGCTGACACGAGTACCTTTGCAATAAAATTGTGGTAATTAGTTTTTACAGTTATCTGTATTTTTTAGGTTTGCGATTATTMAAAAAATATAAACTACTACCCATTTTTAATGTTTAAAAAATAAAATAATGGCAGATACGTGAAAAAATATTTTTTGAACGCAAAATTTGAYCAAATAGTWTAATATGATATTGTAATGATCGCCAAGTGTTTGCATCTATTCAATTATAATGGTGTAACGGTGAATAAATATTCTTGAATTCGTTTTGATAACGCGTTTTTAAAATATTACGTACTGAAATTTTCGTTAGCCTTATCCGTTTTAACAACTAGGAAACAGACTTTTAAGGTTGTCTTGGTCTCACGGTGTTTCATAAAATTCATTTTTAAACTATATTAAGGTAATGCTATTTTCTGGTTCAGYCGCAGCAGAAGCAAACAAATTTTCTGACGAAGGTCCATTCACTACCGTGAATCGAACTTGTATAGTAACGTATACAATTCTCATAAGTATAAGCCAATAATAAAATCTTTATAAATAACGACGACACACCCTATCTTGATTGAATTTCTGAGAAACAACATTTTTTCTTCTTCTGATAAACAATGTCATAATCAGTCTCTCTTATAATTGCACCAAAACAAAAATGTACAATCATAATTGGTGTTTATGGGTGGGTAGAACGTATGTAAAAGATTTTTAACCTATACTTTATAAATCGTATCTTAGAGTTCATCTGACATAATTTGTTTTGTTAGCGAGAAAAATTCATTTTTATTTTTCATTTCATGCTATAATAATAACAATGATAATATATCCACACGGGTATAATTTACGGTGGGAAAGTGGCGTGTGTGGTTCTGGTTAATTATTTGTTCTGATTCTGCATAATAATAATAATAATTTTAACTACGYCAGTAAAGAATAATACTAATATTGTTATCATCACTGAAGACGAGATTTGATTCGATTACAAACAACAGACATTCGTCAACAGTGGCAGCCTTCAGACAATAATATAATATTATATGGCATCTATATCAGATATGGGTTTGAGATATTAATTACTAAACAGAGCTCGTCTTGTGCCGTATGATTGAGAATAGTACGTATGATTGGAATGCATAATATTATTGTTATTGTCGATTTGTCACAAGAGTTTACGTAGGCATCTATCAGGCAGGTATAGGCTACCGGAAATAATCAAGTGCAATTCTATCAAGTACTTCGATGAACCATTATATTTTGTAATAGCCATGTTCACGTCATCGGTATTAACTAAAATTATGTTACAGAAACATTACATCACACATCTACGACCGATGCCAAAAAAAATTAGTACCGATTTCCGTGGAAACGTTATTTTCCGCGTTTGAATTTCAATATGATGTGAAAATATTATTATTATTATTATTATGTGACGCGCGACGATGACATTATATTATTATTATAGTACCAACATATACAATATTCTTTGATTGATTGATAATCGTATTCTAAACAATCGAGAGAAGCTTGTCACGTATTAATTATACTATTATAATTTTATCGTGTCGTATTATATTATTATTATAAAATTTTGCTTTATTTTGTGAAAAAAAAGGTTCGATTCCGTCATTGTGGCGTAGCGTGCGTGTGTAAATAAAACAAGTTATACAAACATTTTCATTCGAAAAATTATTTAATATCTTCTAACGACACTGTAGGTATTATTATTTTTGTTGTTATTGTTAATTCTATTTAGAATCGAATAAAAAATAAATAAAACATGGAGTGTTTAATTTAAAAAACGAATACAAAAACCAAATAATAACAACGATTAAACAACGGATTCTAAATTGTACGGCTGGCAAAGCAAAAAAACTAAAAAAAAACTAGAATTAAGTGTACATAAATCACTATGGGGTTTATAAATCACTAGAATAAAATTCCTCGTGCTCTGTTTAATTTATAATGCATAATATTGTACCACACGCATRCAGCCAAGGCTTAAACTCGGAGGTGTTTATTCTTCGCATGGGTACGTATCTACTTTTTGTCCACGTGCAATTAAAATCACTTCACCCTTTACCGGATTTTAATTCGTTTTGTGTCGGTTTTTTTCGTCCTCTTTCCATTATTCCGTAGTGTGGCCGGATATCTGATTACACGGATCGATTCGGAAACCTTTTTTTCTCATTCGCATAACTATATTATACGATATAATAATAACAATATAAGACATAAGTAGACACTAATAACACCGCTGTGCAGCATAATAATAATATAATTTAATTATTATCTTGTTTGGACATACGGGCGACATCACTCAACCCGATTTTCTCCTATAGCTACATGTTTTTACGGCTTTTGTTTATAAATAAATATCGAAGAATACCACTCGAGACCGAAGCAAACCCCATCCCAAAACCACAATGATCGTACACAGGCGTATGAGARCTAGGTAAAATCGTTAACCATTCGAATTCTCCCCCCCCCCTATCACGTGTGCCGATCCTGACCATTTTAGAAGTCTACGGAGAAAGGTTCACTCTAACATTTGAGTCATATGGGTCAGATTGGGCTCGCGTTAGGTTTCGAGGATTGCCGTGGAATGTTTGACGACAAGAAAAGAGCACCCTGTAACTGCACACTAATACCTACTAGGTGTGATAAATTACAATAATATTATAATATGTATGGAGATAAAAATAGGAACCAGGACGTAATATCATTAGAAATTATTCCGCTGCCACGGAAGTTACGCGTTAGAGAACACTTCAGTGGCAACAAACGGAAGAACGTCGTTACGAAAATGGAAAATATTCAATTATAACTCACGGACACCTTACGATAATGTACCCGTATAACAATATAATAGGCAACATATTTCAATGTTATTATATTATGTATTGCGTTATGTGAGATTACGACCTATATGGGAGTGTGTATATTGTGTTGGTCTTATTCAGTCTTGTCATCGTCAAACGAACGGATGGAACTTAAGGGTCGTGATGGGACCGGATGTGTTGGCAGTCGGAGAGGTGGCCGTCGTGGCGGCTGTGGCAGGTGTCATGTGCGTCATCTCGATGGATTCGTGGCCACTGCAACCCCCACTGCCGTCGTCCTCATCACCGCCTCCACTGTCTACTCCACCACTACCACCACTAATGTCTTCACTGATATTGGTCACCAGGGGGTTGGCCACGGGGTGCCATTTCCGCGGAGAGTCGTCTCGGTCGACCAGAGGCAACCCGTCGGCGGCGACAGGAGTGTCGGCCGCGGAAGACGAGTCAGGGTGATCTCGCGTCTGCCGCGGTGGTGAAGAGCACGAAGACGCTGCGGAAGATGACGAAGACGGAAACTGTTCGTTCCGTGGTCGCCCCTCGTCACCGCCACCGGCCACGGTCTCATCGTCGTACACCGTGACGGCCACGTGGTCACTTTCGTTGAGCCACTCGAGCACGAGCGTCCGGTGCGCCTTGACGAACCGCTCGAACACGTCCACGCCCGAAACGTCCGTCTGCACGGCCACGTCCACCAAGCTGACAACCGACGACCTGTGGTAATACCGCTGTTGCTGCAACTGCTGCTGGTGCGGTTGCGGTGACGACGACGAATGCGAGTAAGCGGCACCGCCACCGGCATGCTGCTGCTGCTGCTGCTGCTGCTGGTACGGCAGACATTGTTGATTCGATTGCTGGTATGGATGGTGGAGGTGGTGCTGGTGCTGGAGATATTGATGGTGTTGATGGTGGTGCAGGCCGTAAGGGTGGTGTGGCTGATGCACCGGGCTGTCGTATACCGTTCCGTCCCAGCCGAATACCTCGGGCGGGTGGGACGAGCTCCTTTGCAGGATGGCCATCTGCGGCCGTTTGACGTTCTCCGGCAGATCCGGGTTTGACCTGGCCGGCAACGAATACGGATACCTGACATTCGAACTGGTCGTCGCCAGTTCCTGCAGCGCTTGTATGGCGTTTTTCACCTGAAACAGTGCACAGATCGTACGGACTTAGACACTTGGACAAGAGTTATGCATGCGTATAGTCAAGTATGATGTGTGCATAATACATTTGTCTATGGATAAAAACATGTGTGGGGGTGAGTTGGCAATGGGATATTGTGGTCCTGGGGACTTGAACAATTTGAAGTTTAGGTTAGGTTACAGTACATGTTATGTAGTGTATAAAAATATAATTAATATAATTGTGTATAACCATGATACCTATTCTACAATGCTGTGTTGTACTCGATGATATTTTATTTGGGATTGAGGATTTGAAATATATCATTCGAAATTGTTCAACTAAAATAATTTTGTTAACCTATTGTTATTATCATTTTTTTATATATATAAACGTATATATAAAACAGCTTGACATAATGACGCTATCCTTTGTTGTTTTGATGGATATTGAAAACGATAATATCGCACATAATATAAACGAATACGGTATTCATGTTCGGTTGCATTATATTGAATGGCAATTTTTGTGCTATTCCTAAACGCACAAAATAAACATCCGTTATAATATTTGTGTAAAATTGATTCAATCGCAATCATTTCAGTGGCGGCACGGTGGTACACATTCACGATATGACTAAATGATTTCCGAGAGAAAACAACGACGACGGTGTCTGTGTGTATAAATAGGTAGGTACTACGAAAGTTCTGCATCACAGTCGTTTCTACTGGAATTCCTCTCCGTCTACAATTAAGAACATTAATTTACAGCAAGGCCTTGGTAGAGTTTTGAAAACGTTTAGTAAAATTAGAATGCAAATTTATTGTTAAAATCGTTTATTTTTTTCCCCCGTCGGAAATTGGAACGCTTCACGTTTATTATAAACACTGTGTGCACTTATTTGAATTTATTACCGTTTCGTTGTTACACATTTTTGTTTCTACTGGCAGGGAAGGKATGATAATAATAATAACATTATAATAACTAAGTTTTAATTTAATGTTCGGTTTTTGATGAGTTACAGGTGGAAGTTGTACCCATATAAATATATACCTAACCTAAATATTTCGGTCGTTAAGTGTACGATTAATGGCCACTTATGTCTCAGATATTATGTATTTCATAAAAATTGTATTTCTGTTATTTTATAACAATATTTGGTTTTATAAAGAACTTGGAACGATTAATTATTTATTTATTTATTTATTTTTGTTATCGAATTATGAAAATCTTAGGTATTTTTTTTTTTTTTAATGTAATATTATTATAATAGGTACATGGACGCAAATTCAGTTTTTACTAAGGGATAATAATTTGTAATAACTTGCAATATATTCAAAATAATAATTATTGATAAATAACATTGGTCCTCCTGTATATATTGTAGGTACCTTTAAATAATAGATGCCCATCCTTCATAGAAACATGTTAATAAAATCCATTTTAAAACATAGATAGTATTGAAACCTTAAAATATATATCACCGTAAATGAGATAAGATGAAATTGAACTATATTTAAAAATGTAAGAAAATAATTGCTTTTTATTTTAAATTATACAACATATTTTCTTTTCCGGAATTTAGAACAAAAATATAGAACGATTGATTATGCAGAATACCTACAGAAATGTAAAAAAAGTTCAAARTATGTACGATTATAATTGCAGTTTGTTCAACGATACATTTCGATGAAAAATAAGATACGTATACATTTAAAAGTATGAAGAGCTGATTTTTTTATTTTATGTTAACTTGAAAAAAAATATCGGATAGCCAATTCTGACACACTGTACCTGCCATAGTCATAAAATATAAGTAATTCATTCCAGAGTTGCTCCACTAAGATGATTCTTCAATTTCCGTTTTTYAAGAAACTAATTCGTGTATCACATTCGCTTATTGTTAAATTTTTTACGCAACACTTCATGAAAATAATAATGAAGTTTTAAAAAATATGTATCTGAATACAAATAAATTTGTACAAATAAAACATACCTACACAAAACACTAATAATAAGGGAAAAAGCCATTGAAAGAAAATATCACCGGAAAATAAAAGTTCACAATCCATCATAAATTAACTTTTATATTTACTTAGTAACATTACGTACATGTACTCGTCTACCGAATCGTAATTTTATTTCAATTATTCATCAATAATGGYTCATTAAAAGTTTTGATATTTAAACACAAGTCCATACCTATATTTTATACGTGCCTATGTAATTTTTAATTTCTAGACTAATTAAGTTGCGTTCTTAGTGTATTAAATAGCTAATCATACGAGTACCTATGGCTTTTATATGTATTATTATTTTTCGTGGCTAATGATTTTTAGGTTGAACTGATATAATATTTCGATAAATGTATCCATACCATGGTTAACAATAACGTTTGTAAATTTTTCATTAATAAAAATACAAAAATAGTTTAWTTTAAACTCATTAAAGGCTTACAGTTACATAATKAATAGGCGATTTACCTCTTGACTTAAAGTTGCGACGTGATAATGAAGTGAAGTAACTTGTGTGTCCAGTCTATCAACATTGACTTTTCTGTGTTCGATATCACTTCGAGGCAGCGTTCTCGATCTATAAGCATAAATATAGTTTACTACAGTCAAGGTGCGAGTTGAATATTTTTTCATTTAATTTCAAATMTTCTCAAGGGAATGTAATTACTTTAATTTATTTACTTAATTAAATTGGTAATATGATAATTCTTAGATAAATAATTGTGTATTCTATATACTTACACAATGCGTACCTATTTTAAAATGAAAATATAGTGAAAACAAATATTTTGATTTTTGATCGAACATTTTGGATTTAGTAAGATTGTTTT